TGGTAGGTATATTTTGCACTTGGCTAAGTCTGTACTTAGATCTATAGAAGGATCATCAGAACGATCCAGAAGCTGAATGCCACTTTAAATCCCATTCCAGCTTCTTTATTCTCTGGCTGCATTCCTGGCCAGTAATATCTTCCTTTGGTATATAGCTAACAACAAATGATGCTCTCTTCAACTACACTCTTCACCTCTGTCATACTTGCTTTTATTCCCTGCTTTGATTTCTTGCTAGAGTTAGTAGGCTTGATTAAATACAGAAAGTGGCAGAAGATACTTTTCCATTTGCATTAATTAATTTTGGAGTTCTAGATGCTTTCTCCTGTATTTTCAAGTCTACTTATTCTCTTTCCTTTGATTAGCAGTGCAATAATGACAGATTTCTGTGAACTCCCCAACTTCTGTGAACTAATAGCAAGGCCTGAGATAGCATGGGTTTTGCAGCACTCAGAAATGTTAGCATCCAAAATGTGAAGGCACTTTTCTCAAAGTTTGTTGAGACCTCCAACTGAGTGGGTCATACCCCTGTCTCTGGTCATTTGATAAAGGTGACCTTGCAGTTACGTAGCTCCAGAAAAAGAAGGGATATATGCCACATATCCAGTCTTGAGTGTTGGTGGTTGCAGGCTTCATAGCAGGTGACTAAAGCCCTATTATTCACTCTATTAAATCTGTTCCTGGCGTTTCCCAGTTTAGTCCTCATTTAACTGTCCAGTCCTTCACCAGTCCTGTTGTCTCATCTTAAAGACGGGGAATAGCCTTTATCAGGTTGAGTTGATAAAATCGTGCCGTGGAGTAAATCGTATTTATCTAAAGTACATCTTTACACCAGTTAGGGGTGTAGAGATGCATTCCTCCACCTGGACAGATTTTGCCTCAGGAAATACACCTGAAAGATTTTGCATCTATATTTCACTAGTTGCAACAGGACCTGTGCAATACAGTACAAAATGTATTCTCTCTGTCTAATTGGCTGGTGTGAAAGACTACGGTTGCTGACCTTTCAGAAAGAAAAGTCTGGAAAGGAAGGGTTACTAAGAATAAGGTCTTTCCGTGTAGGAATTTTAGGGCTACTGTATATTCCCACTTCTCCCCCTCGTGCCAGGGGGACTACAAAGTACTGCCAAGTAGAAACTACTTGAATATAGTTTCAGCATGGTGGCCACATGTCCTAGCTTGTAGGTTCAAGAATTTCTGTAATACCTCTCTGACACTGTGTTCTTAAAAAGGAAAAAAAAAAGTCCATGGAGAAGATGTTCACTTGCTTGGACGTAATCCGATTCCAGGATGGAAACTGGCATTCCTCACTGCTCATCAATTCCTGTTCTTTTTGTCTGTGTGCCTGCATATCACTGCAACCCAAATGTACCACTGTATTTGTGGCAGGAAAGTTTAGTTTTCTTTAATAGAAATGAGTGAAGCACAATACCCAAACGTAAAGTATTTTCTGTGTGATTACACATGATGCAAGAGATCTCTCCACACTCTCATGCTTTTTTGTATGAGTGTTTTCTAGTTCTCATTCATAAATGTCTGGCTTTCCAAACTATGCCTCTGGCAGATCTTAGCATAAATACCAATTTATTCACCACTTTCTTTTTTAATACTAACATACTTGGCAAGATATTTTTCCTTTCTTTTTTTTCCAGTCAACATTTCTGTTTAGTTTATGGTCTCTGAAGAACTTTTTGTAACCCACTGTCGTAATTTTATTAGTCGCATAGTTGGCGCAATTCAGCACAGCCATTCAATTTACCTTGAGGGAAGCCATACTACTGAGATTTGAAAAACAGTTACAATACTGAGCAACACAGAGTTATATTTTAATTGTTAATTGGTCAAAATGCATGCTGGTATGAATGCTTCCAGTTTCAGTATAGGTCTACAATGCTTACTAAAAAGGAATTGATGTGTCTGGAAGTTATTAAAACAAACTCCTAACAGCGTATTTAAATTTAAATCCAGCTAATGAAGCAGTAATTCTCTCCAAAATGTTCCTCCACTTGTCCCTTAAGATATTGGGTAATATTTAACATGGGTAGGGTCTATTGTTTTGGTACCAGTAAAAATTACAGAGCAGAGTGTTTGATTCATGTTGTTTGGCTGAGGAAGCATTTAAAAATACGTAATTGGTTGTCACTGATAGGGTGGAATGACTGCATTGGAAGAGGTATATTCCACTAAAGGCTTTTTTTTCTTGTAGATCAACCTTGTTTGCATAGACTTCTTGACAGAAGATAAGCAAATCAGATTTTATGCATTTGCACACATTTTTATGATTCCCAAAGAAATACAGCAATTTCAGTTCTGTTCTGTAACTATTTCAAAATGGCAGTTGTTATCCATGTAGTTATTTCTTTTCTTTACTTCCTTCATGTGGTTGTTTATGGTCTTCTACAAACTTGTCACTGTGCTTTCTTTTCTGGGTGCATTAGAAACAAGTTGTATTGAGTAGCATTTCCAGAACTGCACAAGCCAGAAAACATGTTTTTATACATTTACACATGTGTAAAAGTGTATCATCACTGCCCATGAGGCCCTTGGACAATACCATGTACAAGACAAAGACATTTCATTGACTTCACTGGTATTAGGACTGCTTCTTAATTTACTGAACAGGGAGAGGATAATCACATATTACTTACCAGCTTTAAGTCTAAAATGCTGCTGGTTTTGAAAAGTATGACTAGAATCAATTTATTTCTGTAATGCCAATGATACCACTGATGAAAACAAGGCATTACTTACTTCATATAACAGGCCGATATACTTCATGGAGAGGATATTCTCCATCCAAGATGATAAATGTTTTGTTATTTAAGTGCAGTTTGACTTTCTCTTATTAACATGCAATATATATAGTTTTGGACAGTTACTAAAAGTATGTTACATCTTTCTGTATGGTTATCAAATCTCATGACTAACCAGGTTATATGTGCATGGGTGTAGAAATAATCAAAAGGACAATCAGATAAAAAGCATCAGACTTCTTAAAAAAATCTGTATCTTCTTTTTAAGGAAAGCTGTCTGTCATGGTAGGACTCTGAGGAGTCACAGGAGAAGTAACAGAAACCCATGTAAAGTGATTTTTAAATGATTAAGGTCTTTTGGTGTAAGTCTCATACTTCATGAGGAAATCAACTTCTCCATATTTCCTCCACACTAAAATCTTAAGTACAAGAATTGTATCAAAAGGCTTGCCAGGGAAAACAGTTAAACCAGTAGTTTGGTCACATGGTAGAATATATTTTGGAATATGGAGATCTGTTTTCATCTCATTTATAATTTCTTCTAAAATGTTAATCTCTTTCTGATGCTGATGGTATTTATGACTTCTATGAATCCTCAGAGTCATTTGGAAGTGTAATGTAGTAACGCTCTCAGCAAGCTAATAAAACAAACAGATATTGTCTACATTTTACAGACAATGATGCTGACTTGTAACAGGGGAGAGGAGGTTTCAGAAGTGGCTAGGTCACATAAGGCACATTAGAATATTTCTTCCTAAACAAGGGAAAGCAGATACTTCGCCAAATTCTGGCCATAATTCCACCTTCTTTTGGCTCCCTGGGGATGTAAAGAGAATTGGTAGCAGCCATGAGGCTGCTTTAATTTACGGGACTAACCAGTTCCTATAGCTTCAAGCATGAAAGGAGTGGTAAGACAATTAAAGCTGCCCTTTCTTCTCAGCTGTGATGAGTAGTACATAATGCACGTAATATCTAGACCAGTATCTTCATGGCACAGCCAAGATTACAGATCAGGAGTTCCTGGCTCCCTAGATCGTATTCACAACAATACACAAGCCAATTCTAAACCCATTTTCTCTTGTAAAAGTTCTGTGGGCCAAATCTTCATTTGATACTAGTTATTACAGATACAGAGCTATGGAGCAATTTACAGCAGCTGAGGATCTGACCTTTAAATGAAATGATACCAGTGAAGTATTTACTTAGGCAATGGGTACCGTGGAGCTGCCCTGGTTTTGAGAACTCTGTCAAACAAGAGGATGATAGCCATGGTTATTTATGAGTTGTAGCCTCTTTCCTGTATCTGAAATTATTTACCCTATTCATGTTGGATACTGGCATCTCTCCACTCTTCTGGTCACCTGAAAACAACACATGTAAAAAAGTATAGGTAAAAAGAGGCATTATTTGCAATTAAAAGATTAAATAAGTATATGATTTCACAAAGCAGTTGGTGCTCCCAGTAATCCAAATTATAGTTGATTCTTCTGTGCAGTCCAATAAAAGAGAGTTTTTTTCCTGGCACTTCTACTTGCTATTTTATTACTTCTGTATGGTGCTTTGAAAGAAATAAGAAATTGTATTTTTCTACCAAATGAATAACTGTATTGAAAAGTTCATACAATTTAATTTAATTAAATTTTAATTAATTTTCTTAAGCTTTACTCCTAAGTAAAGGTTAAGATGCTTTCCAATATTTCTAATCTAGTTTGCTACCACTAACATGGGAATGCCTGATATTTTTCCATTTGCAATGTAGTACACACCAGAAGATTTTATCGAATATGACTATGAGTATGGGGATGCAGATTATAAAGAAACTGATTCTGTAACAGAGGGACCCCCACTGTTCGAAGAGACAGTAGCACAAACAGAGGTAACAGAACTGTTTGTTGTGTGGTGTCCAGCTGTCCCCTACTACATGGTTTGTCAATTTGTGTCTTCTGTATGTAAGCTTAATGTTTTCCTTTTACTCATTTCTTTACTCTGTAGCTGTAACACTTGCTTTCAGTTAGAGATGGAAGGTCTCATGGCTGAGAGCATTCGTCTCATATTTGGTTACTCTTCTTTCATTCATGCTTTCTCAATTTTCTTTTCATTTTATTTATGTTTTCCCATTCCATCTTTCATAACGTTTGCAGAAGAAGAAAGCCATGGTCAAAAAGAAGAAGAGGACAGTGGCCGCTAGCTCAAAGGACAAACCCCAAAAGGCCACAACAAAAAAATCTGAAAAATATGCATCCAAGAAGAAGAAAAGTTATCAAGCAGCATCAAAAGGCAAACTAGGGGTAAAGGTAGCCAAGAAATAATCAAGATCTTTCTCAGGCCAAGACTGGAAGATCTCTGATAATAAGAAAAACTATACCTAATCCCACTAGATGAATACGTCTGGCTAATACCATAACCTGAATAAAAGTGATACCTCTTGAATTTTTCCTACAGGATTTTTTTTAATAATGTACCTTTTCTTTAATACTAGGCAAACATTGTTGATGGATTTCAAGAATATAACATAGCTGAAAATGACTATGGGCCCCAGACAGAAGCTCCCTCCAGAACTACTGAAGCAAATGAGGTAATAAGGACTCTTGAGAAAATGATAGGCAAAAATACTTGCCTACCAGGTGTCAAGGATTAAAAAAGCACAAACACATTTTAAAAGGATGAATGTCTGTCTGTGTAAATATACATATCTATACATAACAGCAATTAATGCAATTTTATGCTTTCTCAGCCAATATCAGAACCTACTATTTTCTTGGGCAGAACTCCCATTATTTCTGAAGAGATCTGCTGAATCTTTAGACTGCAAAGTTCATGATTCTGGAAATCATTCAGTGACACATGCTGTGGAAATACAGAGTTGATGCATTCAGTGTGAATGTGAATGGAGCTATGTCTAGTATAAACTAGGTTAAATACTAGACATAGTCGTCCTAATCTAAGGGGAAGTGAAATCTGTAATTTTTCCTGTAACTTTTAAGATACAGCATAAAATGAGCCTAGCACAAGACAAAGAATGGTTGCAACCATAACAGCATATTGAAGTTGAGTCAGAAGCTATTGTTTTCTTTTAATAGTTCTTCAGCTAACAAAACCAAATTATCTGCTTTTCACTGAGGTTCTATGAAACATTGTATTTTGAACTGTCAAAAAAAAAGTATTATTTTGACTTATGTTAGAAACCACATTTTTAGAAAGCCACAGTGACAAGCTTTAAACATTATTTTGAGATTGCTACACCTAAAGCCAGTGTTGATTAATATGTCTGCATATTAATTAATGCTTGTTTTAGAAAAATGATGGCTGATTATAAGAAATACCATTTTAATTTTTATTTTAAATTTTCCTTTCAAAATTAAGATGTATTGCTTAGAAGATGTACAAAACTGCCCCCCTACACACCCCTAACCCCCTGACACCCCATTTGAAAAGAGATAGAGTCCCAATTTGTTTTTTGGTTTTCCTGCTATGTATCTTGGAAGGTGAAGGTGAATTAAGATATATTTTACTCATTCTACTGTAAACTGTTCTTGTGTCAAATCAACATGTCTCACAAGTTGGTCGACAGAGGCGTATTTAAATCATTCTGTTTCTTAGGCACTTATAAGCAAATAGTACAATATAAGTATATTTTATGTATAAGTACAATAGTATAGATGTTATGAGGTAGATCCAAAGTGCTAAATGCTTTCTTTAGTGAGAGCATTTCTGCATAAAGGCAAAATTTGGCTTAGAACTTGTTCAGATCCACATTTACTCTAGCTGTCAGGCAAAAGTCATAGTCCTGTAGCTAATGGAATTAAGCTACTGTTAAATCAGAATCTGGCCTTCTATTTTAATTGCAATATATTTCAATATCATGGTTAGATCAAGATATTTTTAATTACACTGGATGTTGATTAGCATCTTAATATATTTTTTAAGTTCGTACTAGTTCATCTTGTCTGGCCATCTAGAATATCCATCCATTATTAGCAATATCTGAACTTTGATTTCTTTTAAAGTTATCTTTTCAAGAGACCTCTGTAACAGAACAAAGTAATCCTCTCATTTTTCACAAATGGTTTTGTACATCTCAGATACAGCATTCTTTTAAACTGCTTTGGTGCTTGTAAGTTGGTTGCTTGGTTTGACAATTTACATACTTGAAGATGAAAGCATAGTTTTCAGAAATGTGAAAATTAATCTGAGTTTTGCAGGCGGAATTTGACTCAGCCAAAAAATTTATGAAATACCATGACAGACATGAACCATGACTTTTTCAGTGATAAATAAACTGCAAAATCATTGACAAGAGAGAAGTTGAAACATTTAGCTCAGCGTTGCTATTTATAGACACAAAATAATAAAGAAGGCTGGGCTTAACTAAAGTGATGCTTGCACTTCCTGTACATCGTTATTGTAAAAACGTCTGAATTTATTCACTGCTCATTCATATGTTCATTCACGAATGCTTATAATTGTGAAACCAAGCAAGGAAATTTAGCTATATTTGGCACTAAAGTAATGTTAAGCAAGCAGTACACATAGCGTACTGGATATATTGAATTCAGTGGGTTTGGAAATTAAAAAAAAAAAGTGTATGAAAGCATTACTTCTTTGTACTACTTATACAAAGATCTTTTAATTAGTCTCAAAGTCTGGACTTCCATTCCTTTGGACTCCAATTAAAAGACAATATGCTGTAGTTCTACTATTCTTTCTTCTTTTGACAAGTCATCATGGTGAATCAGCATATGCTTACATTGCTTTACTAACAATAACTCACATATTCCTCCCATTCCCAAATCTTTGCTACTGATATGAATAGCAAAATCCTGTTGAAGAAGTATTTGCTGAAGAATACATAACTGGAGAGGATTATGATAAAAAAACTGAGGAAACTGAATATGGAAGCAGAGGAGTAGACCTCAGTGAATCTGATCTGCTGGTAGATGGAGATTTAGGCGAATATGATTTTTATGAATATAAAGAATACGAAGAGAAACCAACTGATTCCACTAATGAGGAGTTTGGTCCAGGTGTTCCTGCAGAGACCGATATCACAGAAACAAGTGTAAGTTGATTGAAGGCATAATACAGATTAATTTAATTTAGTGATTCTTTTATAGTTGTGCAGTCTCAGAACTGTACAGAGCTTGATCCAGAGCTCCTTGTACATATCAGATATATTCTCACTTTTTATAGGCTTTGGATCAAGCCCATCCTCTTGTTTTAGTAATCCTGAACTTTTAATTTTTATTAAATGCAGAGTTTTTGTCTCTTTTGGTGACGGGAGTAGAGGAGGGTTGAAGATGGGAGGGAAAGTAAAGAAGAGATGAATTCCAAAAATAAATTATAAAATGAACAGTTTTTAAAGTCTCTCTAAACTAGAGCTAAAGCTGGAAAGAATGGAAGTTCTAATGCAGGTGCAAGTACTGTATTAATATTTTTATATAATTACCCTAAGAAGTTGGAATGCATGTGTCTCGAATCCTATGACTTCTCCTACTTTCCAAGGAGAAAATTCATGAGTGGGAAGGTGAAGGTCTGAACCCTTTCATGAAAATAAGCTTAGTCAATGGTGACAGGTTTATGACCATGCAGGAGTGATTTAACAGCTCAGTATATATAAAGGAAGATAGGATGACATGGTGGATCCTGTGAATCATGCTCTTTTTTGTGTGTTTTATAGCACTCTCTTTCCCTCTGACTTAATCACAGGCTTAACAGCAAGGCATTAATTTTCCTTTAGTTGTGCCAAGATCCTCATTTACCAGTTTACTGGACTATGGAAGCTGCAAAGAAAACTAATATGACTAAGACTGGAAGCAAAATTAATTCGCACTTGGATTTGTAATTGGGAAGGCCCTAAATATAGTAGGAAAGGAGAATTTTGTTGGCATTATTTGCTCAGGCTTATCTTTATTTTCTCCTCACAAACTCCAAACTGCAGTTTACACAGGATACAAGAAATAACAGCAAATGCTGTGAGGTTGCTTTTCTCTGCCAACATTGAAACTCATACTTCTGTATTTCATTTATCACTCCTTTCTAAGCCCTGTTGGGGTCATTGTATTTTCTAATGATCCTTATCTATGCAATGTGATACAAGCTTACTTTTTTCCTTCTGGCACAGATGGGGACACAGTGACAGAGTGACACAGAAAAGGTCAGATTATCTGCAAAGCAAAGAGCCCATAAGGCACCATTTGTGCCTGCATTAAGCAAATGACTATGTAGACTCTATCCCCTGGTGTAAATTTCAACTTAAAATGCCCTGCTACAAAACTGAAGGAGCTTGAATTAGAACTCAAGGCTCTGACCTGTGCCAGCTTTATTACAACTCTCCTTTGCTGAACCAGATATATTATATAATTGTCCTTTGACATATGGATGTGTTTGGAACAAGTGAAGTTCTACCTTTGGTAAAAATGGAAAGATGAAAAGTACTTAGTACCTGGAAACTTTCAAAAAAGGGGCAGTATTTTCATAGGTGGAGACCTGATATAATTTTTTACAACCATTTTTCATTAATATAATAAAACATGTTTGTGTATATCTCTAGCTACTTGATCTTAATGAACTATTGCATCGTTACTTGTGAGATTTGTGCCTTTATAAATCAATACAAGATGCACAAACCATGAATATATCTGTTTTTCCTTTCCAAAATATTTCATATTGAAATACTGTAATATTATCCTTAATATTTTCAAATCCCCAGCTATTTTAGTGTAAACATGGAATCACTCTGCTGAAATAAAAAAAAGGCATTGCAAATTTTCATCTGATCAGAGCTGAATTTAATTTCTAGTTTGCAGTGGATATGTTAGCAATCAAGAGAGGTACATCTGAAGAAAAATACATATCTCCTGGTTTGAAAAAAAATAGGTTTCTTTTTCTTTCATTGAAACTTGAATCTGTCTGTGTTCTACCCTTAGCATGTGTTACTGGCCTATTGTTTTAGGGTACTTCTGTTATCTTAATCCTGAATGCAAAACTTCCCATAGAGCTGATCCTAAAAGAATTTTGCAGTTGATGCAAATTCATGTAGTTAGGAGGCATAGCTGGCTATCCATGAAATATTATATAACATTTGCAATGCCACATAACTCCTTTCCCATTTATGCCATGAAGTCACAGACTCTTCTCAGACTAACTTACATGTTGTGGATGCCTAATTAATGAAATTAGGAGCTTGAAGGGTACTGTCCGTATGGGAGTAAGGGATCTTTCTTTCCAGCTTACTTTAGGCTTACTTAACTCAGAAAGCCATGAAGAATCATTGTTAATTGCCAAGAATATGTCCATTCAAATAAAAAAAGAAACAACTTTGTGACTTGCACATAGAAGTTTTAGATTCTTAGTCCAAAGTCCTGATGCAAACCATGGGATGTAATCTATTGCATCTCACTGGAAAACTACAAATGGACAATATCCAATAATTTCAAAAATATGTGTGCAGTTTTTGCATTTTCCATTCCTCAGGTATTAAATACTTTTGACTGATATAGTTTCTGCCTGCGATGTGTTTTTCATAGCACAGATCAATTCCAGCTTTAGCTTTCAGTTAGAGGTTGCTGCAGTTCTCTAATGTACCACGTCCTTAGACCTTCTACTTATTTTCATTTTGGGGGCTGTTTTTACTGGCCAGGTGACTGGACATGGGGCTTATGGAGAAAAAGGCCAAAAGGGAGAACCAGCTGTGATTGAACCTGTAAGTACAGATGTGGATGAGTTTTTCTTTAGCAGTATATAACATATACAAACTGTTGATACATGATTATCAAACCATGTTGTTCATGACAGGATGACAGTAACCTTATCTGTGATCTCTGAAACAATCACCTGCAGTGTGGATGGTGTAAAAGTGGTTACAGATAGTAGCCTGTTCAGCCTTTTCTTTTGGTTACACAAAAGACTAATCACATGTTCCTTAAAACAAGGGCAATCCGCTTGTGCAGCGGAAAACAGAGCATAGATCTGCTCTTCAGGCCCTTTAGTAACTGCAGCTTAGACAGACCTACAGAGATAGCTTCCAGTTTAAGCATACGTAACACTGTAACTACAAGTTTCAACAAGGGCAAGGAAGTCCCTCTGAGAAGTTAAATAAAAGCTTGTATGTTTAACCGGTGCTGGTGCAGTCACACTACTAAAAGTTTAATTAAATACTTTCTTTGGGGTTTACAGTTTGGTTATAAGCACAGTAATGGATCAGTAGCTACACAATTTTTCTCATCTTTAAATAGTAGTATAGTAACTAAGTGGCTTTTACAGTAGGACAAAGTTATACTGAAGCATCATGCTTGCCAGTCAGAAAAAGAATACATAGACTATACAAAAATAATCATAATATCTAGCAGGAGTTGAATGCCAGAGTGATTTACTCTTCTAGAATTTTCAAGGACTGCTTTCAAATATGTATTTGACCCAAATAGAAATTAAAGTTTAATCTGGTTTTTGTTTCATAGAAAATTAGGTACAGAAATATCAAGGCAAAAAAATAGCTTATGTTGAAGCCTGATAAAACACTGTGATGTGTCAGATGTTACCTAAATATCAAAGGTCTGGATTCTATGATCCAAAAGCTCCCTCTCAATTCTATATTCCTATCCCAGGATTAGCATGTGGTTAAGTTACTGATCACCAAACTTAAAAGGACTACAATAATGAACAAGTTACAAGTCAAGATTGTGACCTGTCAGTCATGATCTGTGAAGAAGCTCAGGGTGTGTTAGCTCATAAAATGCATGGCTTTTTAAACTATTGCAAGATACATTTAGTTTACATCCATAATACTGAAGAGGTATCTACTGCTAGTCTCCAACATTGTTCGAGTTCACTACAGCTAGCTTCAAGCTTGTTTGTCCAGTCCTTCTACCTATGAAAAGCCAAGTACAATTGAGGATCGTAGGTCTTACCATGACTTGGAATTTGGACTAGTGTCAGCACTCAAAAAAGCTAACTAAGAGGTGCTATAAGACCCACAGCATAGAAATGGCCAGAGCTATTCACATCAAAGTCTTTAACAGCATTAAAAAAAAACAACCCAAAATTATTTTTGAATCAAGTACTATGAGATTCCTCCAGGCTTGAACTCTTTCTCACTTCTAAAGCCACATAGCAATTCAGATTCCAATTCTAGTAGCTGTGGAGATAAGATCCCCAGAAAAGTTTATCAAAACACTAAGAAATATTAACTTTAGTAGTTCAGCTAAAAAGATGTTTTATATTTTTCTCCAAGACATGACAGATTTAGTATCTTTCCTGCCCTAGGGTATGCTCATTGAAGGACCACCGGGACCAAGAGGACCTGCTGTAAGTAGATTAATCACAATTTCCTTTTATTGCCTTTGATTTATCCATTGTGCTTTGGTATTAATGAGTTAACACAATTAATATTGGTCTTATCATAGTTCCCAAATGGTGTATTTGACTTAGCATTTTTAAAAGGGTGTAAAAAAGGCTCATCTCCAGCATTTTCAGTGACAGCATGCTACAAGCTGAGTGCACATGAAAATCAAACTTTTGAATGTTGACTATAAATTTTTGTAAGAAAAAAAAGTATGCCGCCTTATAAATTATTTTATCCAAATATGTGTTTAACATAACTTTCCAAAGAAAAAATAGTTCAAAAATGCTGCCAGCCATCATTCAGTGTAATAATGTCATTCATTTTCCATAGGGTCTTACAGGTCCACCAGGTCTACAAGGTCCTGTTGGTCCTCCAGGTGACCCTGGTGAAAGGGTAAGTCAACATAAGGATTATCCTGGGTATTCCTGGTATGTCTTGCACTAATTGGTACAAGAGTAAGTGGGTTAGATCCTGGTCTGGAATATATACACACGGTTTAAGAAACTTCAGTAGAACTGAGGCTGATTTACTCAGCTGAGCAAACCAGCTGAGAATCTGGACAAACATGTCCTTAGTGGCTGGAATATGTACTGTAAATACAGGAAAAAAGTTAAGTTCCTATTTGTCTATATTTCTCTGTTTTGATGTGAATTATTTGAAAATATAATAAAACAATAGGTAGAGACATCTCATATAGATTTGAATGAGTTTTTAAAAAATCAGTATGACCTCAGCTATAACATGAAGAGATACAGGGCAAAACAAGCTGTGCAGAATCAAAAAACACATGGAAATATTGAAAGTGATGCATAATATTTAGATGATCTAAGCAGAATTTATTTGCCATATTACATAACATACTGCATGTGAACCCTATCCAGTCATGAATATAATTGAAATTTAAGCTATTACTTTAGTCTGATGTGTTCTCACAGCCTTTTCTTACTGACACAACTAACAGAATTTTGAAAGAGCCTAAATATTTTTATCTGAAGAAAATATGCTACAAAAAAACTTTTCTGAGTTTTATGAGTGATAGTTTACTGACGAGTCTAACATGTTCATGCTGTATTTGTGAATAGAAGATATTGAGAAGATGCTATTGTTTCACTGAATGAGAGATTGTTAAAATCCCAACAATGCTTCACCTTGATAGTAAGTCAGCAACCACACTTCTTTCATATTTCTTTCCTGTAGATTAACTAAATAACATATTTTGGAATTTAAACTTTCAAAATGGGAATTTTAACACATTGTAGTGGAGTAACTACTGATAATACTCTGGTTTTTTACCTGACTGCTTACTGAATTCATCATAAGGAAATTCTTGACTAAACATCATGTGCCTGTCTTGGAACAGACTTCATGTTTTATATATAAAAGGACACATTACACAAATAAATAATTGTAGAAATGAGTTACCAAACTCATGAGAACAATACAGATTCTGCAACCAGATTGCTGTCAGATTCCATCCTAAGGAAATAACATGTCTTACTTTAAATTTCAAACATATGTGGACAGGTTTGGTTTTTTACTTGAACAACAATCAGTGTATATGAATAAAGGCTTTAGCTCTTGCTATAACTATTCTGACAGTTTTTAATCTTAAGTAAAAAATTTAGAAAAGTAATGTTCTGAGAAAATTACTACTCAAGAAAAGCACGTTGCTTAATTTTAAAACATCTGCATTAATACCTAGAATAATTGAGAATGTTTAACCATGGAACTACAGAACAATTAGTTGAGAAATCCACCACTTTTTGTAGTTATCTATGGTGCTTCCACTTTTGTACTGAATTATTGTATCGTTCTAATCCTAATCACGGGTATAAGACAACTGAGAAATGAATGAACGTACCCTTCTGGAAAGGACCATAAGTGGTCCCACTTTTACTTACTGTAGGGATGAATTTCACTCATAAAATAGTGCAATGGAAGAAGAAAGTGAAAACTAATCTCATCTTTAGTTTCATCTTCAGTAATCTAATCTTCATCTTCTGATCTAATCTATCAGTTTTAATATTCACAAAAACTCATAATCATATGCAATAAAGTCACTGCAGTTCAGAGTGAAGGTTCTTTGGGTGCTTTGCAAGTCCATTTATTTTTCTATTTTTTAACCCTAACTCAAAATTGCCTGCCTATATAATGGTTCTTTTTAACAATCACAACATTTTATTCAATATTTTACATCTGGATTAGTAATAATTCTCAACTTAAGATTTATCTGTAGTGTGTTATTAGTAGGGAATTTTTTTTTATGCCTCAGGCGTTTTTGAAAAAAGAGCTCAAACAGACTCAGCATCAGACTACTGATTTTAATTCTTGAAGAGGGGAAAAGGTACCAACATTTTTTGAATCAGCTTTCCCATTGTTTTGGTCAATTCCTGAACCGCAGAAGGAACCAGTTAAGATGGTTTGATGTTTGTTGGTCTGTCATTGCAACCCTGCAGAGACTTGTCCTGGTAAATGAGTACTTTGTTTGGCAGACATGCAGCAGGCAAATGAGAACTCCTGATTCAGGTCCTTCCTGCCCATGACAGCTTCAGCTAGCAAAAATGCAGCATGCAAATTGCTGGGATTATAAATCAATTATAAATCTAACTGTTGGCACAACAGCAATATTTATCTATGCATCACGTTGGATCAATAATCATGTACACTCATTGGCACATTTCCTCAACTCCAGTTTACACAAAAAGTTTAGCTCTTGTTAAACTGTAAGGGAGAGTTAGATTAAAAAAAAAAACAGATTTCAAGTCATAGCTGCAGGACTTCTGTAGCCTTTGAAAACTAAGCCTATTCAAAGGGTTTAAAGAGAATCAGCAGTGTTAGTTCTCTATATCGAATAAAGCAAACACTGGAATACAGTGCAAATCTCAGCTCAGCCCCACCTATGAAATCATGAGCAGAGCCTCCATAGTTGGGTGCTCTGTACTCCATTTTTTAACATAATTTGTAAGTAAAATAATTAAAGAGAATAGCTTCCTTCCCTATTGCTGAATCTGTTCCCCAAACTCAGCTCTTTAATTACCTCACTAATAATGAATAACATTGTCAAACCATTTGCAAAGAGAATATTAAACCTCTAAGTGTGTCATTACAAATACAAGTGTAAGTGTGTGTCAGTGACTCAAAGGGTTTATCTTACATCTTTTTGTTCTCATCCCTCTTTCTCTCATCCCTTTGTTCTCTTAGGGTCCACCTGGTCGCCCTGGTCTCCCTGGTGCTGATGGTTTAGCAGGTCCCCCGGGTACCATGTTAATGTTGCCGGTAAGTTGTATTATCATTACACAGTAGCCAGCCTCCAAAAAGAGGAAGTGTGTTTCAAGAAATGTATAGGTGTTTTCTTTTTTCATCTGATTTTGTCTTTGGAATGAGTTTCTTGTACAGTGTAAGCATTTGAACATGATGTGGTACCTTTTTTTTGTCAAACACAACATATGCTTTAGCTCCTGCATGGCTGCCAGATTGGAACCTACATGAATGTACTGCACTCAGTGAAATCCTCCTTATATTTTCAACAGTAACTATTATTTACTACTATATGTCCTAAACAAGGAGCTTGCTGTTGCACAAAGGGCATGTACTCCCAGGAGGAGTGTGTGCTTTCAAGTCTCCTTGACATGGAGAATTTTAAGCATTCCATGCTTAAAATTTGACTTCAGTGTCCTCTTTGAAGAGTCAGTGCATCCTTTGAATAGAAGTATATGCACATAGCCAGCTCTGCTCCCACTGGAGTCAAAGCAAAACACCATCTGTTTTAGCAGGTGGAAGAACAAGCCCAAAGCTATTAAAGTATCTTGCAGCTTTGTGGTATCAAAAGTACTATATGCATGGAATTCATTATTCCTAAGTGTATGCGTGTATTTTGCTTGGAAAAATACTTTGAAAATGTGGTTGATTCCACATTATGTGGATCCTGACAAACCACCTGGTCTCCTTTCAAATGATAGAAGGCTTGGTACTTCTCTTCTCATTTTAGAAAAACTCAGGTGCTCATTTCTGGGGGCTTAAAGCAATAAGTTTTCCATAACTTTAAAAAAAAAAATCCTTCCATTCTGATAATAATATGACTGCAGGAGAAAAACCTCAATTACTGTGCCATCTCTGGGCGTAGGCAAACTGAACAAACTGTTGTGGGCAGTGAAAGATTCACAGCCCTGATACCCAGCATGCCTATGCCATACCTTTGGAAAGCTGTGCCTGTTGCAGCTTAGTGTCTCTGCCACATGGCAAAGCTCCTACTAGCAGTTTCATGAGCAATAACAGTCTGGGAGTGCAGCAACGAGTACTTAAATTTTATTCTGTAATTTATTTTGAAATTGTCAGAAATGACACAAAACTGTTTCATTTTAGATACTAAACATTTTTCAAATTGAAGTCTGCCTTAAACTGAATTGCATTTTTCTGTGGGTAGCTACCAATGTACAGAGAATTAATTAATTTTGATACATATATTTAATGAAGTTTTGCAGATAATTAGAAAGTATCATGGCCTCCTTTTGAAACGAATAAATAAGCAAACAAAATGAAAACCAAAATCCTATGAAATCAAGAAAATGTTTGCTCATAAGGGATTAGATTTGCACTTCAGTTCTAAACTGTTACCAATGACTTAATATTCATGGTGGATCCAGTGGCCTCAATGCAGCAGTCTTCTGAAATTAGTGAAATGAACTAAAAAATGAGAAACTGTGTCTTTGAAGTGGTTTACACAGATGCAGCAAATAACAAGTATGATTTTAATTTGATAAATTCTCAATACTTTTCTTGTTTTGATACTTGCAGTTCCGCTTTGGTGGAGATGGTGAGAAGGGCCCAACAATCTCAGCTCAGGAAGCTCAAGCACAAGCTATTCTTCAGCAAGCTAGGGTGAGCACAAGGAGCCTGCAAACAAAACTGACACAAGGGTACAGCGCAAAAAAATTTCCATTTTATATCATGCAGGATGTGAAGTAAAGAGCTCTAAGCATCATCTCATCACAGTAGTTATCCTTATTGACAACTGAGTCAATGACAGGGGCTATTTGCTAATGCATTATGAAATTGTATTAGTGTAGAATTTGTATTCTGGCTGGCAGCTTTTTCTTGATCCCTGTTGTTTTGTTCTGTTTGTTTTCTCAGATTGCTATGAGAGGTCCACCTGGTCCAATGGGACTCACTGGACGACCGGGTCCTGTGGTATGTAAACAATAAAGGGGCCCAGGTTAAAGAACACAGTAACACAAGTCCATGGATCTCATTCTGGCCTTGCCTACACCTCTGTATTTGTACTTATTTTATTTGAAAAGAAACTGATATAATTAAAGACATAACTTGTATTCTTATTCAAGGTCTGCAATGCAACCTGTATACTAAATCAGTTTTTTATTGTAGATTTTGGAGTGTTTTGGTAGAGCACACTGGTAGACTTAACAAAACTAACGAATATAGAATCATAGAATCATAGAATGGTTTGGGTTGGAAGGGACCTTAAAGATCACCTAGATCCAACCCCCCTGCCATGGAGAGGGACATCTTCCACTAGACCAGGTTGCTCAAAGCCCCATCCAGTCTGACCTTGAACACTTCCAGGGATAGGACAGCCACAACTTCTTTGGACAACCTGTTCCAGTGCCTCACCACTCTCATAGTGAAGAATTTCTTCCTTATATGTAATCTAAATTTACCATCTTTCAGTTTAAAGCCATTATCCCTTGTCTGATCACTACAGGCCCTTTTAAAAAGTCCCTCTTCAGCTTTCTTGTAGGCCCCCTTCAGGTACCGGAAGGCTGCTATAAGGTCTCCTTGGAGCCTTCTCTTCTCCAGGCTGAACTTTCTCAGCCTGTCTTCGTAGGAGAGGTGCTCCAGCCCTCTGATCATCTTTGTGGCCGTCCTCTGGACTCGCTTCAACAGTCCAGAGGATTCAACAGTCCAACTGTCCATGTCGTTCTTATGTTGGGGGCCTCAGAGCTGAACACAGTACTCAAGGTGGGGTCTCATGAGAGCAGAGTAGAGGGGGAGAATCACCTCCCTCAACCTGCTGGCCATGCTTCTTATGGTGCAGCCCAGGATACTGATGGCTTTTAGACTGAAAGTGCACATTGCTGGGTGTTTTACATAAATAGCTACCTATGTCTCTACAGTCAGTCATCTCTGTAATAATATTTACAAAATTTCTTGTGATAAGTATGAAACTCGACAGAAGGAGATACTAAAGCAAGAGTGTGCAGAATGACCATGGCTTACTATTTAAGCTGAAAAGTACTGGAAAGTTCTTACGAGGCATTCTTATAAACAATTAATAACCATACAGATTTCTAAAAGAATTGTATTTTTTTACTTCAGTCCTGAATTTGGCTTGACTGCTAATACCAAATGATTTGGAAAATGGCCTTGTGAATGTTAAAAAAACTTAATATTTGTCCAAAGTCTATACATGGAACAAAACAGTTTTTCTGATGACATGCAAAACAACTTTTTGATCACAAATAGGTTTGCCTCTGTAATCCCTACAAACATTTTAAAAGGACAATACTCACAATGAAAGAATAAAGCCAGGTAGGAAGCTCAGCAAGCCAAAACCACATGATCAATCTTGCAATTGCAATTTCCTCTTTTAGGAAATGGATACTTTTCAGACTCAGTAGTCCACTAAATGGCATAATTTAGCATTTACCGTCTTTCAAAAAGCTATTATAAAGCATTTGTACCATGATATAAAATAAAAATGCTGCAGCCAAGATCATAAGCTTTGTAGAAGACTAGTCTTTTCTAAATTTCTTCCAGATGATTGTATTTATCCACTGATGTGGAGTGAAATTCTCTTCTACAGTTAGTATAGTATCCATATTTGAAAGATCCACTTAATTTGGAAACTGTTACTTTGTCTACTGTGATGGCACAGCTAGATTTGGCTTCTTACAGCAGACATACGTCAAAATTTAATTTTTATTTATATTGTCATTATGGTGATGGACACAGAGAATAATCTTAGCAGTTTTCATTAGGTCAGACAAGCATCCAGTTGTAAAACACAGACAATAATACAATTGTGCTATTGAGAAATGAAAACAAGCAATTGCTGGGTAGCCAACAGAAAGGGATGAAGCAAGTTCTTACTGGTTTATTGTGTGAAGAAAAAGAGACTGCAGAGATATGCCAGTCACAACTATAGCAACATACATAGAATACAGCAACAGAAGTTGCTGGAGGCCACCTGGTTTTCTCCTTGCATCAAAATGCAATAGCATTTTCCTCCAAAGTAGTTTCTTTCCAGTCATCCCAGTTGTGGAAATTTGGTCATAACAGAAGCGGTGAGACTGTAGTATAAGAAAGATGGTTCCTTTCCCTTCTTTTGTGCTTCTTTCTTTCTTTAATGTGATGCTTCAGCAACAACCCACAGCTGAACAGTAACAATCACGTCCTTCCCTTCCAACCTCCTCTTTTTCCTTGCATCCTTACACCACTACCACCGACAGAAAATACTGGCCAGGTTATTGTCCATCGCATTGTATATAATTATAGCAGTACAATGCAACTGAAATGCCTCAGTGGCTCTCACTGCTATTCCCTCCAGTGACCACTTTTATTAACAAAGAAAACCCAGGGGGACATAACATAATTACATACTGTTGAAGGAATATTTTAGGGAGCATAAAGAATACTCTGGATCATGTTCTTCCCTGATCCTAGCACCTTAACATTCTCTTCAGTGACTCTTGAAAACTACATGATACTAAAACTGTTGTAAGTTGTATTCTTGGTTGTCTTGGTAGTGCTTTGCCTCATCTTCATATAGCATCAAAAAATCTGTTCCAGATTATGCTGGTACTCCAAACTGGCTGGTCTCATGAATGCAGTCTGTTTATCTAGGTGAAATTTACTATTTTCAGGTAAATTTTAGCTAAATATCCCACCAGAATCTCACTTGGTCCCTAGAAACTGAAATCACTGGACTTTACTTATCTTTCTAAGCAGAGGTCCTGGTTTTGGGCTATACAAGAGCAATTCTTTTCTAGAGCAATTTTTCTGAAGTAAATAGTTGCAACTAAGCAGGGAATTTGGCTCATGAGTGATCATGATTAGGTATGCAATACTTAGTAGTAGTCAAACGTGAGGTCTATTTAATAAACTAATACACTATTTCTAGCAGTGTATTTAAATCAAGAGACCTGTAGAATAACATTCAGCCTATACAGACAAAATAACTATAGAATTCTGTAAACAAGGAATTAATTTGTAAAGACTGGTATAATATTGACAGTGGTTTGTGTACCATTAGCTTAAGTATAACCTGGCCTTATACTCATGCTTTCATGTTTTAAAAGCCTTCATGAATTTCTGTATGCAAAGTTCAACAAATTAATATTACTAATAGTTGTTTTCTTTCTAAGCCACCAGGAGGCTCTAGAAATCCAGCTCTCTGATCTGGCAACATTTTTGGCCTACAGTTCCAGAAGCAGCTGCAGATTCTTGGTCTGTCAGTTGTTAGTGTCCACAGCTTCTTTTAAGAATTAAATAGTCGGAGCTTTTACTCTTAGTATGAATTGTGTTTCGTTAAATTATTAGTAGCCAATAAGATACATTTAGAAACATATCAGTTATTAAAAGTCTTAAACATAGCACTGTCAAAGCCCCAGTCTAGCTTCAACAGAGTCTGGAGTTTACATGTTTAATTAACATAGAATACAAAATAAATTTCTGCCAACAGATATTAAATGTAATCAATTATATTAATTAAAAGCAGAGCTTACATCAGGGAAACCCAAACAGACAGTCACCACCTACCAAAGCCACTGTTCTCTCCACTGCCAGGACCAGCTCAGGATTTGATCTTCAGTTTGCTTAGGAATTGATTCAATACCTGCAAGGTCAGCAGG